TCTTTTTGTTTTTTGTGGTTCCAAAAAAATTTATTTTAAAAAAAAAAAAAAAAAAAAGGTAAGCTCCATGTTAAGATCTTCAGGCTTTTGATTTTGATTATTTTTTATGAATGCATTAACTTTCTGTTTGCGCAATAGTATCAACTTATGCTTAACGTAAGTTTATTTGTTTGGATATCGCGGTACGACTGTTCAGTACAGGGAGCTCAAGTCCAGTCCTTGAGAGCTGCCATCCTGCAACTTTCAGATGCTTCCCTGCTCCAATTAACACACCTGAATCAAATGAATGGCTGGTTAGCAGGTCTGTTCGGAGCTGATCCTGGTCTGCTGGAGTAAAGATGCATCGAAAAGTTGCAGGACTTCTCGAGGACTGGACGTGAGCACCCTTGGTTTATTGTTTTTGTTAGCAGCTAAAGCTAGCCAAGCAGGTGTAGCACGGGGTGTCGGGTGGTTAAACAAACATTAAAACTGTCAGAAAGGCCGTTTGAGTTAACATTATTTAGCTGCGGAGTTGTTTTCTTGAAGTTTTCAGCTATAGACGGCATAATGGGGAGAGTGGCTGTGCTGGACCGGTGGTTTGATCTATGCGAGCAAAGCTAAGCCAAAATGTTTTTGTCTCTATAAATAATAATGATAATAAATAATGACATATTGGCTGCCTCTTTTTTTTCTTCATTAGTACGTCATGTTGGTGACTGAAGCTGTTATGTTGACTTCAACACATTTGTTCTGACAGGTTGGTAGAAGAAATCCTCTCCAGAATGTTTCTATAAGCTGACTAATTTCTATAATGCCTAATGTCTGAGTTGTGTTCATGGTAATTATTTCTGACATTTTTATGCTTTATGTTGTAGGTGGTGAAAAATGCTCTCCAGGGTAAACCGTTTTTCTGAAAGAACGGTTAAAAAAAAACAACAACAACAAAAAAAAAGCCTGACATCTGTAGCTACCAGTATTTTTTTTTTATCGTTCTTTCAGAAAAACGGTAGATTACCGTTCTTTTGAAAGAACCAATGTGCGTTTACCGTTAAAAAAGAATGGTTAAAAAAAACAAACAAAAAAAAACCTGGCGTCTGTAGCTACCAGTATTTTTTTTTATCGTTCTTTCAGAAAAACGGTAGATTACCATTCTTTTGAAAGAACGGTAAACTACTGGCAGCTATAGACACCAGAAGTTTACCGTTATTTCACAGTATCTATACCGTACTTGCATTGACGGTAATCTACTGTCAGGATTAATTACGGTATAGCTACTGTGTATTTACAGTAAACTTCTGCCGTCTATAGCTGGCAGTATTTGACTGTAAATTTACAGGATTATTTCTTAGAGTGCAGGAGAAGAAGTTGGGAACAATGACATTGATTTTCTGTGCTGTTTTGTTTGTGGTCCAGCCTGTAGTTTAGCAATGGTAGCAGTGGAAGTGAACAAAGCCTTTCAGTCCACGTTGGCCACGCTTCTAAATATCGAATTGACATTAACCGTCTCGTTCACATCAGCATTTCTCTCTTCATAGTGGAGGATGGTTGTTGACAGCATAGGCAACTTCCAGTAAACTCCATAGTATCAAACTGCTATATGGCTGAAAAACCTATCATGATATAAGTATTTCATATCACAATATAATAAACAATTAATGATTAGGTTTTTTTTTGTTTTAAATAGCTGAAACGCTAAACGGTGGTGTGACTTTTCCTGTTTTACGCACAAGTTCCTCTTGAGTTGTTGTACTCATTTTCTTCCTTCACTCCGTGTTGATTTTTTATTTTTAAGCAGTTATGAGGCAAAACCTTAAAGCTGCTGCTGCTAGTTACTCAACAGGTTGTTGCTAGGTAACCAATGATTGAGTTGATTGGTTGATGCCCCAAACCTTGCTTAGATGGCCATGAGAGGTTGAGCGACAGAAGAATTTTCTCTGCCTACATCCCCCAGAATGCCTTGTGGTTCTGGATTAGCGTTTAGTGAAATTACTGATCATTCTGACACATTTTCTATCAAAATTGTTTTTTTGTTTTGTTTTTGTTTTACTCTAACTCCTTGGCATATTTTATATTAAGAAAAAAAATACTATATTTTATATATATTAAAAAAATACAGTTGGAAAAGCAGATGACATAACTGGGTAAGAAAAAAAGAATAATGCATTAAAAAGGGGAAACTGATTTCACAGAGTCAGAATTATAAATATCAAACTGCAAATCTGCTATAAAATATATCTTCCAAACAGGGAAACATATGAAAGCATTCCAGTATTGCTGAGTGGGGCTTTCATCTTTCTTATTGATTTGTTTGACCTGCTGACGGAGCAGCAGCGGGTCGGTCCATAGTATCCAGGTTCTGGATCTGGGCCACTCACCATGGATAGGTACAGTAAATCTTATCTTCCTCTTTGCTCATGATCGAAAAGATGAAATTGCACGATGCATTGTCTCAGTGGTCACTCAGAAGCATTCACACACAAGCGACAAGAAAGGTGGCCGGAGCGAGAATAGATGTTGTTTTGGAAAAGAAAAGTAGTCAAGAGGGACGAAGTCGGCGCTGGCACCGGTAAGAGCTGATGAGAGTGAAAAACAGACGCGTAGCGTAAACAACTGCTGGGTCTCTGTTGTTGTTTCACATCAAAATCTGGAAGTAACAGCACTCTGAGGAGAACAAAGCTGTCGCTATGCCTGTTAAAAAAACCTACTTTACATCAATTTTTCATTTTCAACTCCAATTTATTTTTTGAAACACGTTCAGTATTTCTCAACTCTGTTCTGCTACAGCGACAGCCATAAAGCATCAAATCAGGAAAAAGCGTTCCCGAATAGCAGCCTCAGAGCGTCTGTTATCAGACAATGGAATCGCAAACGCCTCCAGCGATAGGCAAAGTGACAAAAATCTGCGGCTTCGTCTCTCTGTCACATGAACGTCGTCTCCGAATGAGCACATTTCAAAAAGCCCGAGGAAGGGGCTGAATGTTTCTCCTCTCTGGGCTGAAGAATGTGAGCTATAAAACAACAAACACGACTATCTCGTCACACATTGTTCTGCTCCAAATACCAAAAATTTAACTTTCTGCGACATAGAGTCAACAAGGGCAGAGGATTAATTCTCACAACAAAATTGATGGAAAAATAAACGGCTTCTTTTATGTTGTTGTTGTTGCTGTTCGTTTTACCCCAGGAAGTGGGGAAGAGGAGGCAGAGCTCCTCCAATTAGCTGCTGTATTTAAAACAGGAAGTGAGACTTTTTATCAACGCTGTCTGTCCATCTTGTCTTAAATTGGTTTTCCGTCTTGAAACTGCGTTCAGACTCAAACGTTTTAATTAAATGGGCTTTTGTTTCTTTTTTGGAAAATGTCTGGAAAATCAGCAGCATAAAACCTGAGAATGTTTGAGTACAGTCAAAGCTTTCAAAACCTAAAAAGAAAAATGTTGAGTAAAAGGATTAAGGAGGCTAACTGCTCTGTCAAAGCAAAACATTATGTACTAATCAGAATTTTCTCGACAGTTTCCATTCAATGGACTTGCAAAGCCGACACCAAATTTAGCCCAATCGGATTTTCCTTAAGAAAATACTGAAAGTAGCAACAGGAATACCATTCAAAATATATTCCTTTAGCCTTTCTGCCATGGGCAGTTATTAATTATTCATTTTGAGAGCAGAGGTGCAGTCTGACTGCGTGTCTGAGAGTCGGCGGGGTTTTATTCTTTAGCAATTTATAGGAACAGCAAAGCAATACTAAAACAGAAGGCTCTGTGTGTATCACCAAAAACATGGAATTCATGGCTTTAACTGAGAATTTTAAAAAGATGAAACAGCCATTTGACTATACTATGTTCAACTATTGTCTCATCTTCCTCACTCCCTCTTTCTCTCTTTTGTGGCCTGATTGATCTGCAGACGTGTTTCTACATATTGCACATGATAAAGTTTCCTTTGAAACAACCAGTCAGAGCAAGGAGGAGGGACTGGATGCTGTCAATCATGCCTTTGTATGTGCTTCTCTCTTCTTCTCTTCTATGCTACTTCCCCACGTGAATGTTCAATCTGGTTGCATGGCCACCAATGCTGGCAGATAAACAGTTTTCCTGTAACGGTAAGTTGTTTCTCCCACAGCCGCACATACACAAGCCTGATTGACAGCGCTGAAGCCTTCCGCCTTGCTCTGATTGGACGTTTCTAACTGGGGAGCGGTGTATTTTACAAATATGTCTAATTTTATACTGTCACGATAAACCTGTCACATATTGACAGCTTTAATAAATACGTAACAAATATGTCATAAGCCTATAGTTTGGGGGCGCTGTGGTGGTGCAGGGGAAGAGCACAACCCAGATTGTGTCCTCAACATGGATGTCACAGGTTTGATTCTCGGCCTGAGGACCTTTGCCGCATGTCTTCCACCTCTCTCATTACCCACTTTACTGTCAATTCACTAACAAATAAAGGCCACTAGGGCCAATAAAACCTAAAAAAAAAAACCCACATTGTTTGTAAAGGTTAAATACCTCTGCTTTATCACATAGGAAAAATAGCTAACTGAGACGTCTTCCATCAGGAACGACTTCCACACCGAAGAGTGTTGCTTTTGCAGCAACTTGAAAGCACGAAGATTTGTTGAGCTCACAAATCAGAAAAAAAAAATCTGTTTTTGTATTTTGCAACTGGCCAAACACTGGTCGGTGCAAATCAAGGAAGTAAATTAACTCATTCTGATCACCAAAATAAACATTGTTTCAGGGTTTTGTTTGTTTTTGCTGGTTTGGGAGTATTAATTCAGACAGAAGAAAGCAGCTGGCACATGTCACACTGTCCTTACAACAAGAGTCTTAAATTGATGATTCATGTAAGCATCATCCATCAGAAACACCAGATAAAAATCAATAATGTAACCTAATATTCTTTGATTCAAACTCCATTTATGCTCTTTCTGGTGTTGCACAAATATTGTTTTAGATCGCTAAGTGGTTCAGCCAAAATCTCTGCCTTACAGTTTCACTTTAATTTCAGAGACAAGTTTCTGATTCTGAAAGAAAGCTCAATAAAACAATCAGCATCTGGAATAAGTCGTTCCATCCAGCTCATAATAAATTACACACCATTTTGATAAATTGTGGAAAAGTGAGCAGATTGTGGGAAAAGAGTTCTTGTTCCTCATCCAAATCACATTCCTACATGAGAGAAAAAGAAACACTGAGCCTTAAACACCACTGACCAGTCAAACTGAAGTTTACATTGTCTATTCAGGCTCATTATATTTAAACACGTTCAATAAAAGTTTAGCACCTAAAGTTAGATTCTTCAGAGCAGTGTCTGACAAAGATAGTTTATCACGGTCGTAATTTCTCTCTACTTGACTCACGCCATTAAACACGAGCAAATAGATTTTTGTTCTTTTTTTTCCGCAGACGCTTCTGTGCAAAGTCAAGCTGACCTCTGAGAAACAAGATGTCAATGTTGCATCATTTAATATTTTTAGACATTATTTTGAACAATGACGCGTTTAATGATGTGACAAGTGATCTTGACATTTTGACAGTGAAATTAAACAAAACTAATTGGTAGTAATGAGTTAATCTTCAAGTGATTTTCTCCAAAAGTGACGGCCTACCTCCAGCTAGTGAATAATAAACAAGGCCTGATAAAAGATCTTATTTCAGTTGGCATTTTCAGTTGGCTAGTCATTGTGAGCGATCCATTTAAAGAATTAAAATCAATCAGACTTCTTGTTCGTGTTAATGTGAACCATCACTGCACTGCAATCAGGCTTAAAGATGCAAAATATCAAGCAGTCAAGCTCACAGGCTGTGGATTTGCTATTCTGTAAAAGGGAACATTTGCAGAAAGCAAATTAATGAAAAATGTTTTCTATGATGGAATGAGTGAGCCTGCAGAGATAAAACTAATTATTCACTAGTAAGGAAGAGATTTTGTTTTTTTTACTACTCCAAAAATATCTGACATTTAGTCACATGTTTCTAGACTCCAAAGTGTTCTGGAGCTCCTGGTGACTGATGAAACAGACCAGCGTAACGGATGTAATGCGACCTCAATGGAGTGGATGACCAGGTCCAAAATCTGACACATAAAGACGATTACAAAGTCAGTCTTCTATCACCTGAAGAAAATTTCAGAGATGCCGCTCGCGTTCTGACCAGAGCAGATAGCCTGACTAATTACCAAGTTAACATTAGTTTATGTATAAAGAGCAAGAATACAAAAAAAAGCTTCATACTGTGACTTCTTTGCATAGACTTTTTACCAACTTGCATAAGTAGCCAAATTCGAGTGTCTTGCCTTTCATTGTTTTACATTTTATGTGTAAGATCATGTTGGATTGTGTGTCCTTAAATCTAATCTGACTGTTTGATTGTAATGTGTTAGGGAGAATTTGGTTGATTGTCCAGTTCTCCAGAGCTGGAACTGAATTGGACTTATTTGTCCTGTACAGAACCTCACCATGACATTTGCTATAAATTGTCATTATATACATAAACACTATATGTTAAACAACCAAAAAATGTGGCTGGAGTTATCAATGTTGCAATATTTTTCTAGAAATATGTGAAATTCTTGTACTTATCTTTAAATAAAAGCAGTCAGCTGATGGTACACATCTTTAAAAAGATTTAATTTTCTTGTAAACAACATGCATCTGTTGTATTTTTACTGAAGGTTATCATGGCATGACAGTCTCATCCCAACTCAACATCCAAGTTGGTTTACAAATGCTTTAAAAAAATTGCAATTATTCCCATGCTACCTTTTGACAATTCATAGTTCAGAAAATATCTTACTGAGTGAATCGTTTAGGTTGATGTGGAAACATCTCTACTGTAATAACTTAAACACCAAAGTTTAAAGTTCTGCTACAGCTTTGTGAAGATTATTATCAGATATAAGTTTCACTGTTGGTCCAACATTTCCGTCTCACCGAGTTCAAAGAAAACTGTTGATTCTTAGAGTAACTTCTGTACAAAGTCTCATTAAAAAGCAAAACTTCTCCTTTTGGAACTAGCTGAAAGAGACAAATTTGTTTGCCATCCCATGTCTGGACATTGTGCACGTTCTGAGAGGAACTGGTTCTTTTAAAATGCACTCTTAATTTGAACAGAGGATGCAGGAGGTGAGTATCTTTAATGCCACAGGGACTCCAAGGAATTACAGAACAAATGAGCAGAAATCACCATGTCCTTGTGAAGAGGCTGCAAAGCCAGATACAGCTGAAAACAAATTATATACATCAAGTACTTGACTTTTTCAAGCAGCTGGGGCATGTTTGGCAAAAATAAATAAATAAATAAATAAAACCAGACAGAGCTATTACTTTATGACTCCTAGAAGAGTAAAAGATGAGTCACTGCCTCTGCGGATGTAAGAGCAAAGACTCCGCAGAGAAAACTCAACCTGAGGCAAGGTTTAAATTTGCAAATGCTGGCGGCTCAAATTTGTCGGAATTAGCCGTTTCAATGGCTTCGTCTTTGTCGACAGTTTTCATCTCATCCTTTCTCTTTTTCCCCGTTCCTCCGAGCTTTTTATTAATTAAAGCAGCTCAAGCAGCCGGAGCTCTGGGCAGCGCCAGGGACAGGAATAGACTCTGCCCTGGGTACGGCACCCACCAAGTGAGCTTCGTGGGATGAGCGAGGCCTCCCAGTGGAGATGTGATTGAAAAACATTGGCACACGATGTGGAAAACAACCCCACACACCGACTGCGCATCGATAGAAAAACATTAACCGATTCCCGTCCAATCAGACGTGAATGAGTTCCCGTAAGAGAGATTGCTGCTGCGTCCTTCAGTCATATACAACCAGAACAATTTTACTTCAGATGAGAAGACACTTTCCAAGTAATCAGATCCTTTATGTATTTAGATTGCACAGGATCTATGTTCTCTCTTTCATCTTTTTCACAGTTTTTATGTTATTTTATTATTATTATTATTATTAATTTTTGCGCCATTATATCAAAGTTTACTGGCAACGGCAATAAAGTCATTCTGATGTCAATTTAATGTAAACAGCTCAACTGCATTGAGTTAGGGCTGAAACAAATGTGATTAATCAGATTCATTGCAATTAATCTAGATTACTCGACTACTGAAATAATTGCTAACCAATTTGGTAATCGATTAATCGCTAACTTGGAGAATACAGACCGCCCAAAAAGAGACCAATTGCTAAAAACAACAAACTGATCAGTTATTAAGCCAAAACTGTACACAAAATATATGTAATTTACATTTAAGATATGTATAAAAAAATCTTCTTTGTCTGTAAATATTTCCTGCACAGAATTCCTCAAGTGGCATTTTCTGGAAAAAAAAAATCACCTATTAAGCATCTTATGCATTTATTAATCGGTTGATCCAAAGAATTATCTTCATTTTTTCTTGCATTTTATGCAAGAATTTATTTCTCATTTAAAAATAAGAGTTAAATTACTTGTTAATTTGCATTTTATTCATGTATTTTCAATATTGTATAAAATACTTAAATGAAAAATCTGTAGGATGTGCCAATTTCTTTTTTATCTGATTAATCGCTTAACTGTCAGAATAATTTAGCTAAAATAGCAGTTAGTTGCAGAACCTATATTGAATCCAAGAGAAAAAATAATGAAAGCTTAGAAGTACAACCCCAGCTGAAAACATATGCAACAAAGTTAAATGGGTCAACCCCTCATGCAGGCCTCCAGGTGATACTCTTAGAAAAAGATGAGAGATGAATAAAGTTACGAATGAAGAAAGAAAGGAAGAAAAAAAGAAAGAAAGAAAGCACAACCCACCCTGCCTCTATGGGTTTCTCCAGAATAATATCGGCTGCGGTAGTCTGTTTCAGCACTGGCCTGGTGAGCCTAATGGGTTGAGGAGAAGCCGGCCTGGAGCCTGGAGCGAGAGGCTGGGATCCTGGGAGGAGCAGAGAGATGGGAAGAGGAAAATGGTAGCGAGTGACAGAGGGACAGACGGATGGAGAGAAAAGTCAAGCACAAAGTCTGAGTGACAAATATTCCCATTTCCATGTCAGCACCGGCTATGTCTCCATCTACAGGAAGGACCTGGGTCGTGGCTCTCTCAGCAACACAGCTACGGTTCTTTGGAAGAAAATAGTTCAGCTCGTATTTTTACCTTCAGCGAGTTACAACCACAGACTTTAACCTGCTTCACTGGGATTTTATGTGTGTGGAATGCATGTCACTCTGAAGATTTTTTTTTTTTTTTTTTTTTTTTTCAACAAAATTTCCCTTTAATTTAAAAAATTTAAACTTTTTT